ATTAACATTTTGAGTGCGGCGTGACCAACACTGTGGGTCACAACAACATTGCCTACCCCTGCCGCACTCAGTGTGTTCATTTTTTGAATCCACTTATTGTTAGGAACATCTTTCCATAGTTTCCACTAGATTTATTCAACATTCCAAATGCTGTGACTGTTTTCATTCATAATCACATCTTCCTTTTTAACCTTGTCTTTGAAAATTTAGGGTTGCTACAAGGTTCCGAGACTCAAATTAACTGACTTTCCCCATATTTCCAGACCAGACAATTGTTTTTGTTTTCTCTTCTTTTGTGCCTTTAATTTTCAAGGCAAGCTACAGCACAGCAGTACACAATGTTCAAGAAATGGGGTACAAAGTGCTCCCTTGATGGTTCCCCGAATTTTTGAAATTTTGGAGGTGACTCCATGTTAATTTAGAACTTTTGACGAAATTAACTGAATGTTTCCTTTTGGACTGATTTCGATGACTTGTAGCATCTCTAAAATAGTGAAACTCATTCTGTTGGGTCTTTTTGGTTATTTTCTCCACGCTTGCAATCATCCCAACGACTCCACCCCACCTGATTGGATACTAGGTATAAATATTATGTAGTTTTAGTCATTTTAAATTATCTACTTAAAACTATTTCATTTTTTGAAAATGTTACCTCATGTGCAATATGTTACACCTACAAACTTTTAACAAAGAAAGTTATAAAAATATCATGGTATATGGTATGTGTGGATTCTGTCAGTAGCGGGTGGCAGGAGCTTACATATTGTACACCTTAATATTGTTGTATTCTTATCTTATCTTAGGACCAATGCAGTTTTCTTTTTAAGCTGTGGAATCTTTATCTATTGTGCTCTATATTTATTTTATGTTGACTTGTCTTTGTTGTTAGGGTTGCCTTTTTCACATCCCTTATTCTTCTTATTTGTGTCATGAATTTGCTGACTCCTTACCAATCTTTGGGGTTTAAAGTTAAGCTATCCTGCTTTTCTTATCTAGTATTAGTGGAAAAACTTGCCATTTGGAACTTAAGCTGGCATGTGATTAATGGCATTGTACTTGAGTATTTCAACAGTATAACATTACAACTGGGCTACATTTAATGCTGTATTGCATTAAAAGTTTAAGGACTTCCTCTATTTTGTTATGTGTCATTTCAGTTTAATGCTCTTATTCCTATATACTTTTATGAGGCTTTAGTGTAACCTGTCTTCTTTTCATCTCTGCCAATATTGGGGACAAGCTCACCCCACCTCACTTTAAATTATATGGTTAAATCAGCAGATTTAAATGGTTTAATTATTGATTCGCTAATTTGTCCACTCCACAACTTGTTGCATGTGTCTGAGAGGGAGCTCACCCCCTCATATACCAACAAAATGTTAAATTCTTCCAGAGCTCCGCACTTCACTTCAAATTATTTAGATTGAAAATCTAGTTGAGACTGAATGTGGATTTCAGAGATAAGAAATGAAAATGGAAGCTCTTTGGTTCTTCTCACAGTTTATAATATTATTTTTCATGACTCATTTTAGGTCTATGTAATGAATGTTGGTGAAGATAATTCCTAAAGAATGTTTCCATTTTAAAATTTTAAGATTCTGATCAAATTTACTGCTCAGTATTTCTTTAATTTACACCACCAAATTGTATTTACTCACCAATTTATTTATTGTTCCAAAATAGAACACACCACATCAAGACTAGCCATACTTAAGAATTAATAATAATAATAGTACGTAATTATATAAAAATGAGAAATGTCTTGGTGTCTCAATTGAGACACATATTTGCTGGTTTATGACAACTCTTCCACATGATTCAATGAAACTCAACCATAGGGTCAAAAAGAAAGTTGGTTGGTAACAATATACCAGCTTTACTGGGATAAAAGAAAATTCTTAGTAATGGCCTTTTCAGGGCTGCTTCACTTTCTATGTCAACAAAGAGCTCTAAAATTATAGAAGTTCTTTAAATGAGACTTCTAATAAAACTTCATGAACATTGGTATTGTGAATGAAGCCTATCTTTAAGTGTCAAATACATGGGTGTCCAAAGGGTGCCTCCAGTAAGACTCAGAAATTAATTGTTCCTTACCTTGAGAAAGCCATGGAATACTAATATACTTTTGAAGAATTTCTAGTAAAATGATTTTTTAGGTGTATAGGTTTTTCTGCCTCCAACTCTATTAGATTAGATTAAAATATTTCTTTCCTAACGCTCAGCTCGAACAGAGGCGCTCAGATCACTAAAATATGGATGAGCCATTGATTCATCAGCTGGTAACCGCATAAGTGGGTTGCACACAAGTAAACGCTAGAACAAGAAAAGCCAAATACACCACACATTAAAATAAAGCTACGTTCAGTGCTTAACGAAGGATACTTTTAAAAAATCACAAACCTGGAGTAAATCTCTTCCTTTTGAATTTAGTTTGGGAACAACTTGGCTAAAGCTCATGGATGGATGGTAGATAGGAAACGGTTTGTAATCTGGAAGTAAGGAAATACCAGGCCATGTTTCCTCTGTAGGGGTTCCTAAAAGTCTAAAGATCCTTTTCAGTTGGTCATCAACATCTGACCCAGGAAATAAAGGGCGGCCTGCATTAGCTAATTCTGAGGGGGGAAAAAAAGAAAGAAATTGAGTCAGTGATTATAATACAATACTACATTTGACAACAAAGAAAATATCTAAAGAAAAAAGCAGGTTTCAAAAAATAAAAGAGTGTTACCAAGATAAAACATGACTTACCTGCAAAAATGCATCCTGCTGACCACATATCTATAGAAGTAGTGTAAAGTTTGGCCCCAAATAACACATCAGGAGGTCTATACCACAGGGTTACCACTTCTGCTGAGTAGCATTTCACTGGTATTCCAAATGCTCGAGCTAAGCCAAAGTCAGCAAGCTTTAGCTCACCATTCTGTTTCATAAAGGGTGAAAAGAAATTTTAAAATAGGAAGTACATAGAGATTGAGAGTAATGAACATTCAAACCTGCATAAAGTTCAAATAGCCATACCTTGTTAATGAGAAGATTTTGAGGTTTCAAGTCACGATGCAAAACATTATTACTATGACAAAATGCAAGACCTCGAAGAAGCTGGTACCTGAGAGAAGAAAAAAACAAGAGAATATTGTACTATATTTATTATTTGATAGCATGTTGCTGTTTCACAGGGACGCATTTATACAATAAGTAAAAGAGAATGTATTTTTATTTTGTGAACATTTTGGCCTTCAAAATAGCAATCTTAGGTTTCATGCAACTTACATGAAAGATTTGACAATGTCTAAGTCTATTTCTCCATTCAAACTGTCAAAATACTTTTTGAGATCCTGGTCGCAATGTTCAAAGACAAGTGTGAGTTTCTTATCACTGTGAAGCACATCATACAATCGAACAATGTTCTTGTGTTTCAGTTCTTTCAATAAACAAATCTCTCTTAGAGCAGATGATGGCACACCCTGAAAATTTCAATGAATGCAAACTCGTTGCCAGATACAAAATATATATGTTAGAATAAACTGAAATCCATCATCAAACCTCATCGTCATCATCAAGCCTGACTCGTTTGAGAGCAACAATCTCATGTGTCTCTCTATTCTTTGCTTTAAAGACGGTACCATAGGTGCCTAGGAGAAAGTTTTTCAAATACATGACAATGATGTTTAAATAAATACAGATGATAAAAGACATGTACATACAGATGATAAAAGACATGTACAAAAAAGCATGTTAAAATACAAACCTTCACCAATCTTTTCTAATTTTTCGTATTTCTGCATGATGGGAGGTTGTAAACAACAACCTACAGAACTCAACAAAACTGACTACACCTTTCACTTGCTAGCACAAGCAGAACACTCATACTACTACATCTATTGGAAAAATTATGTTCCTCAAAACTTGGATTATTTTACGATCAGTTTGACTCCTTTTCAAGACTGACAAACGAATAATATCGAATAAATTCTGCTCGTCTGTGCTTTTTGGTCGAATACTACAACTAAAACTGAAAAATTCTAACATTCATTCATTCACAACACAACCAAACATAACATGCAAAACAAACATAACCCTCAGGTTTTGACACTTCAGTTTCACAGTATGGCAGATTTCACGTTCAGAAATGGCGTATTGATATATGCTGATTGCAGCTAGTAGCCCTGTAGCGAGGCTTGCCAAACTTTTCTTGCAGGATTAATTTTCTCTGTCTTTTGGCTATCAACAATTAAGGAAGAGAGAAAATATCTTAACATTAACATCTCAACCCTTCTCCGGGTTCGCTGCCACACAAATCTGTTTGTCAACCTTTTAATGTCCGAGATGCCACGCACTACTTTCTGTGGATGTCGGATTCGTGAGGCGTCTGCTTCAGTTCGGCCCCATCCGCCTCCGCCTCCGCTTGCGTGCAGCTGTTCGCAGCTGTTCGCTCCAAAGTAGCAAGGTGGTCGACTTCAACTCCATTCGACTCCCACACAACACCTACATTTCCGATACGCCCTCGGGGGTGATAATGAAATGTTTAAAGCGCATGTTTTATGTTAACGTCTTGAAATTCACACGTCCTATGACAAACACTGTGGAATTTTAGTGCCCAACATGACGACTATCGAGCTTTATACAAAGGTGAGCTATCTTAACCTGCTAGAGTAGTTTGACAGTTGTTCCTACCCTCTACGAGTTTTTTCATTCAGCAGCTTTTCAGAAAAACGTTATTGACGTGTCATTTAGCTACCTGAAATCCTCCATTCTGTCTCATTACCAATAGATAACCATCTTACTGACCTGGTTTTAGCTTGCAGAAAACTTAAATGCTAACTTGAGTTCTACTATGTCCTGCTGAACCAGGTCACAATTTTGGTTTTATCTCAGACACCCGTGGAGAAATAGTAGACATACCAACAAATATTTGGACCACTATCTCTCTCTTACCTCCTTTTTCACACCTTGTTTTTCTTGTGTAGAGGACCGTTTACAGCATGACACGAGTTGTTTTGTTTTTTGAAGTCACATTGATTGCTTAGATACCTATTGTTTCTCAACCTTAAAATAATCTGAATTCTATAAATTTAGACTTGTCATTGCCACTAAAATGTTTATTATCTGAGTTAAATGCATGTTGTCATTATTACTTGTGCTCACTAGGCCTGTATTTGCCAAACTTTACGTAAAAAAAATTCCAATTGCCGTTGTTTTTTGCGGCGTTCCGTAATTTATCCCATGATATATTTTCAAATTCATCTCTTTACGAGCTCAGACCAAAACCCTTTTATTTTCAAATTGGGCCATGATAGACAGTGTTCTGTCTTCAATAAAATGTGAGAGTTGTTGCAAATGTGAGCAGAGCAGGCAAGCAGAGGATGAAGGAAACACCCTGTTTACGGATTTTGTAGGTGTACCATGACATTGTGCCAGTTCAGTACCAATTGTAATCCTGTTTTCTCTCCTGCGGCCCAGCCCTGTCCCACTATTCTCACACTACTCTGAATGTTGGCCGCTCCCATGCGAGTGGTTTGGCGGGGGCGGCGCCAGGCCGCGAGGCGAGCAGCGTCCCCCCGCGCCGCCGCCGCGCCGCCGCCCGGTGGCCACTTTGGTCCTCCATAGAGAAATGGTCTCCCTGGCTGCGTGAGACCTTGTGCGTGAGCGCGCCCGTCTCGCCACCACCCATTTTATTGTTTTTTGAATACGAGATTAATTTTTTTGGAGAGGCCGCCGCGGAATCGGCACCACCACCACCACCGGGTGCGTGTGCGGGGCATGAACTCGCGGCCGTTACGCAACGGACCGTTTTATATAAGCTCACGGGCGGCTCATGGCGCGAACCAGCCCGCCGCCCCGCTGCTCGTGTCCCCCGCATTCATTGCTGAGGTGACATGCAAATGAATTAGCAGCGCGCGCCGCGCGCCGGGCTCGAGGCTCGGCATCGCAACGGGGCTCCTCCGGGTCACCTCCAGCACCTCCCCTCCCGCCGCCGCTCGCGGCTCCAGGACCGCGAATCTTCTCCAGTTGGACTCCCCGCTGCGGGACTCGACCCGCTCGCCTTCCACCCACATCCCCGTAGGGCTTCCCCCTAACGGCCGCGCTCTGCCGCCCGCCCCCAAGGGTCCAGGAGCAGCTGCTCCAGCGGCCACCCCCCCGCCTGTCCCCGTGCGGATGGCCACCATGTGGCCACGCACACACTGCGTTTGCACACGCGCGCCGACGATCAACAAGTGTCGCAGGCGCACGCGCGCCCCTCATCGCCGCTGCTGCGGCTCGTGTGCGGCGCGCTGCGGGCGGCAGATAAGGGTCTGAAGAGGGCCGCCGGGCTGGTATGCCCCATAGTGCCCCATTCCCATTCTCACCTGCCTTCTCCCTTGCAGCCTGATGCCGTGTGGAGTGGGGCCGGGCGCTCTGTATTCTCACCAGCCCCTCTCGATGCTCCTCAGCCGTCATCAGCTACTCGCTCCTCAGCCCACCCTGGTCCTCTGCCCCGCCCCTCCCCCCTCACCCGGCTGCACTTAAAGATGCAGATATGCGGTCTATGCGGTGTGCGCGGTTCGACAGCAAATGAATGCCCCCCGCAGCGAGGTGTGATTGTTGTTTATTTATTTCTGCTCTCGGCCTCCTATGTGTGCCATCCGCGGCGAGACTCGCTGACGCCTTCCTCTGCTCTGCGCGGACCGCGGTCGTGAGTCACCGAGTCACTCGCGCTGCTCGCGCCCGCCGCGAAATGCTTTCCGCTCGTCACGCCCAACTGCTTTTTAGGGGGCGTGAGTCACCGCCACCGTGGTTCTCTACATCCCCCTGGACCGAGCCCTGGACCAAGGGGGACTCTTGCCCGCCAGGAGGGTAGGCAATTTGTGCGAGCAATATCTGCCGAAAGAGTTCGACCCCGCGTCGTTTTGGTCGAACGTCGGCTGCACCCGCTCGCCTGGAGGATAGAGCGGCATAAAGGGCCCCGAGAGAAGGTGGAGGCGCGGCTCCTTCTCCTCTCCTGGACCCGCCCCTGGGCTGGCTGCCGATGTGCCTGGCTGCAGCCGGCTGGTCAGTGCTTCCTCCCATGGCCCTTCCCTCCCTTCCCTGCAGCCGCCCTATGCCTCGTCGCACACCAAGTGTCGCGTGCTTCCTCGGCACGACGCC